AAGGTACTGTTGTATGTTGTATTATACCAGTGTCTGTGTATATAATGTTAAGTGTGTGTACTGATAGTATTAAGGGAGAACTCAAGGTACTGTTGTATGTTGTATTATACCAGTGTCTGTGTATATAATGTTAAGTGTGTGTACTGATAGTATTAAGGGAGAACTCAAGGTACTGTTGTATGTTGTATTATACCAGTGTCTGTGTATATAATGTTAAGTGTGTAATGATAGTATTAAGGTCAGTTATTTTGTATGGAGAAGAAGAGACCTTCATTTATGGGAGAAGGTCAGTTATGTTTGTGTGGTGCTGTGACCTTAATTGCTTGGGGAAGGTCAACTATTTTTGTATTGTCACAGAGTGCAGTATTTTTATTATGTCTAAAATAATTAGTTAAAACTACTGGTTGGTGTTTCACCCTTCCTTCCACCCTCAACTTTGATTAATGAAAAACGCAAACTCACACTACTAGACTAAACTCACACTGCTAGGCTAAACTCACACTGGTAGACTAAACTCTCAATGCTAGACTAAACTCACATTGCTAGACTAAACTCTCACTGCTAGACTAAACTCACACTGCTAGACTAAACTCACACTGCTAGACTAAACTCACACTGCTAGACTAAACTCACACTGCTAGACTAAACTCACACTGCTAGGCTAAACTCACACTGCTAGACTAAACTCACACTGCTAGACTAAACTCACACTGCTTCAGTAGACTAAACTTACACTGCTAGACTAAACTCACACTGCTAGACTAAACTCACACTTCTAGACTAAACTCGCACTGCTAGACTAAACTCACACTGCTAGATGAAACTTACATTGCTAGACTAAACTTACACTGCTACACTAAACTCACACTGCTAGACTAAACTCACACTACTAGACTAAACTCACACTGCTAGACTAAACTCACACTGCTAGACTAAACTCACACTGCTAGACTTAACTCACACTGCTAGACTAAACTCACACTGCTAGACTAAACTCACACTGCTAGACTAAACTCACACTGCTAGACTTAACTCACACTGCTAGACTAAACTCACACTGCTAGACTAACTCACACTGCTAGACTTCTTTGCCAGCTCCCCAAAGAACAACTACACATACTGTCCTGCGGTCTGGTGGCTGCGACCCTAAGTTAAGAAGTAAACCCTAGTATTAAGTGACCAATTAAAGGGCAGTATAACTGTATACACTTGGCCATGATGTTCCCCAAACATAAATATCTTACAGAATGAGATATAAGTATTTAAACTATTGCTGAATACTTTATTACAACCCCAATATTGTAGAACATGTGTACAACAGGACATGATAGTGAGAGGTACTCAAACACTCTTCTCAGGTGTGTCTCAGGCCAACAGGACATGATAGTGAGAGGTACTCAAACACCCTTCTGAGGTGTGTCTCAGGCCAACAGGACATGATAGTGAGAGGTACTCAAACCCTTCTGAGGTGTGTCTTAGGCCAACAGGACATGATAGTGAGAGGTACTCAAACACCCTTCTCAGGTGTGTCTCAGGCCAACAGGACATGATAGTGAGAGGTACTCAAACACCCTTCTCAGGTGTGTCTCAGGCCAACAGGACATGATAGTGAGAGGTACTCAAACACCCTTCTCAGGTGTCTCTCAGGCCAACAGGACATGATAGTGAGAGGTACTCAAACACCCTTCTCAGGTGTGTCCCAGGCCAACAGGACATGATAGTGAGAAGTACTCATCATTCAAGATAGACTTAATTCTTAATATTATTATTGGTAGTTGATCATTATTTACTTTTTATATACGTAATTATTGTTTAATAATTATTGCTGAATAATTATGTAGTTTTAGACTAATGGTTACCGTTAATAATATTATTATGAATAGTTAAAATAGCGAGTTTATTATGGTTTTATAAGCCTATATTTTGTGTTATATATTAATAAAATATTAATAAATAATCTTAAAATAGTTAAACAATAAATGTTATTGCTTAAATTTATTTTAGTGTATTTGTGAATGTTGTCAAGCTTTTCGGTTCTCCAGCCACTGACTTAAGTTTAGTTTAAAATTAATATATATCTATTAACGGAAATTTAATCAATAATAAAACATTATAAAGTATAATTTATTTATATTATCTATCATTTATAAATAAAATACTTTTATTGTAGTATTAATAATGAAAATTTGTAGTTACTGAAAGATAAGAGAGAGAATCGGACAAGGTGTAGCAGGTCAACATCAACCAAGGTGGCCGTCTTGTTTATTGTTGTTAGTTTTGTTAGTAAATGTTAATTTGAGGGCCTTCCTCCCTCCCTCGTGGTAAGTTAACATTATGTATGGCCGTGTTAACTAGACACAGTACAGTAGAACATAAGAATGGAGGAAACTACAGCGGGCCTATTGGCCCATACTGGGCAGTCCACCCAGCCCCTATTGCTCATATAAACATCCAACCTATGTTTGAAGCTGTCCAGCTATCTCTGTGGTTGGCGGTCACACTGGTTGAACTAGGCCCATCTGGGACCAACTAGGTCCATCTGGGACCAACTAGGTCCATCTGGAACCAACTAGGCCCATCTGGGACCAACTAGGCCCATCTGGGACCAACTAGGCCCATCTGGGACCAACTAGGCCCATCTGGGACCAACTAGGCCCATCTGGGACCAACTAGGCCCATCTGGGACCAACTAGGCCCATCTGGGACCAACTAGGTCCATCTGGGACCAACTAGGTCCATCTGGGCCCAACTAGGCCCATCTGGGCCCAACTAGGCCCATCTGGGCCCAACTAGGCCCATCTGGGACTAACTAGGTGCGGTGTAGGCATATGGTGCAGGTATATAGTGTGTTTATGGTGCAGGTGTGTGGTGTAGGTATATGGTGCAGGTATATTGTATGTTTGTGGTGCAGGTGTGTGGTGTAGGTATATGGTGCAGGTATAGTGTGTGTTTGTGGTGCAGGTATATAGTGTGTTTAAGGTGCAGGTGTGTGGTGTAGGTATATGGAGCAGGTATAGTGTGTGTTATTGGTGCAGGTATATAGTGTGTTTGTGGTGCAGGTGTGTAATGTGTTTATGGTGCAGGTGTGTGGTATAGGTATATGGTACAGGTATAGTGTGTGTGTGTTTGTGGTGCAGGTATATAGTGTGTTTATGGTGCAGGTGTGTGGTATAGGTATATGGTGCAGGTATAGTGTGTGTTATTGGTGCAGGTATATAGTGAGTTTATGGTGCAGGTGTGTGGTGTAGGTATATGGTGCAGGTATAGTGTGTGTTATTGGTGCAGGTATATAGTGTGTTTATGGTGCAGGTGTGTGGTGTAGGTATATGGTGCAGGTATAGTGTGTGTTTGTGGTGCAGGTATATAGTGTGTTTATGGTGCAGGTGTGTGGTGTAGGTATACGGTGCAGGTATATAGTGTGTTTATGGTGCAGGAGTGTGGTGTAGGTATTAATTAACAGGTAGACGGTGAAGGCAAGTGGACCAATAACTGCTGCTGCTTATTAATGTAAACTACTGGAGGAAATTGTCAATGGAACAATGTTAAGGAAATAGGTTGATAGTTTGAGGTATTTTATTACTTTCCTGTTGAGTATTTGTTACTTTTACGTTTGATAAGTTTTGTTACTTGTGGAGTTTGTTACTTTTACGTTTGATAAGTTTTGTTACTTGTGGTGTTTACATCACTTTACGTTTGGGAATTGTTACTTTTCTGTAGTTTATTACTTTTAGGATAATTTTATGATAATTTTGTCAAGTTACTTTTGTTATATTATAGTGGACACTGTTTGTGGTAATGTTAGTAAATGGATGTTTTTTAAATAAACGCTACTTAACATTTGTGGTTATGAAGGACAGACCTAACCAAACAAACCTACCTCACCTAACTTCTCCGGTATATTAAACAGAAAAAACTTACTATACGGTGATATTTGAGACATTTTCTGGACGTGAGATGATACAGCAGCATCGGCACTATGGCGGGTTAGTCCTATATATTAACCAAGGTGGGATTTTGGGTCATTTTATTTTGGGAAAGATTTTTTTATTTGATTGAACTAAAAAAATTTGGTTATAAGAATGTGGTACTTTTTATTTATGGCTAAATTTCAGTTTGTAGTAAAATATTAGCTTTTGAGACATTTTGGAAACTTACTGTAGAGTTGCAGTTTATTTTTTGACAAGAAATTTACATTTTTGTCACTGTATTTGGTGGGATCCTAACCTAACCAAATCGTGTGTCCGATGGTGAGGTTTTAATTCTCGGGGAAAATATCAATTTGGTGGGATTCAAACCTAACCTAACCAAATCATGTCTTCGATGGTATTTTAATTCTCTGGGAAAGGAAAATTCGCATGACGCTTCACAATATCGGCGTTTATAGATAATTAAAGCCTTATGGCAGTGGGATATAACTTGTGAATTTACCAGGTGTTATCCATTAGTGACTAGTAAGTGGTATTAAGAAAGTTGTTGACCAGAGTTAACTTGTGGTCCTTCTGCAGCTCTTCACAGTCTGCTTGGTTCTTGATTTCCCGAAATAACTTGGCGTCATTGGCAAACATTTGTATGGAGGAGTGTACAACGTCAGGCATGTCATTATGAAACAAACAAACAACAGCGGGCCCAATACACTGCCCTGTGGTACCCCGCTTGTGACAGGTACGGACGACTATTTCGTGCCATGAATCGCCACACACAGCTTGGGGTCATCTAGAAAGTCTTCTATCCACGCTAGGACATTTCCTTGAATTCCGTACCCTTCCAGTTTGATTTTCAGCCTTTCTTGGGGTACACTGTCGAAAGCCTTGGCAAAATCTTGGTAAATATTGTCGATATTACCACCTGTTCCAGAATATGGGTCCAAATATCCAATACCTTGAGCAATTGCGTTAAGCAGGAGCGCCCCGGCATAAAACCTTGATGGCAATCCTTTACAAGGTTGTTTCGTCTCCAACATGTTGGAACAAAAAATTACCTGAGTTTCTACAAAAAGAGTAACAGGGTTATTTTGTTTACAGTTTACGGCTCCAATTGGTTGTTACTGTGGTGTTAAGACAACTACCGTATTGCTGCCTCGCTGATCGTGGTTAATGAAGTTCCTCGTGTCATTCGTAAGAGGTAAGATTTTCTAAAGTGTTTCATTATTTTCTTTAATACGTTTTATGGAAATGTCTTAATTTAACCATAATATTGTATTTAAATGTTTGAAGATTTAGTGAGTTCCTGTATAATATAATACTGTACAGTACTGTATACATATTATATAATATTACTGCCCAGAGTATTTAATTTATTAATTGTTAAAATGTTATTCATTCCAGGACGGTGACGTGAAGATGTAAGATATGGGCCACAAGACGAAGGTTTGTTTTGGTTAACGGGTCTCTTGCTGCACCACATTGGAAACTTTCTGTTATAACATAAGGTACAGTACAGTGTATATCTTTGTGGTTTTAGTTTTTATTAAGGATCTGGGATTACCGTTTAAAAATTCAAGTACTGTACTGTAATTGTGTTTTAATGACCTTTGAAATAATTAGATATTTTAAGTAGATTACGCTGTGCCCGTAAGTTATAAAAGGCCTTTATGGATGGTCTTAAATATGTTGACCATCTTTACTGTATGAAGTTAGTTTCATGTTGTCAAAATATTTGTCAAATATGCCTGACCTAATACCTTTGTCTTCAGCACTTGGGGTAAAAAAATAGTTTAATTATCCTACAAAGGTACAGTTTACATTTCAGTAGTACCCCGATTTACGCGGTCAATTGAACCCATAGGGTACCGCGTAAAGTGAACAACAGAACATATGGGATTAATTCCAATAGAGACTGGCCCGACCCCCAAACTCCACTTTTTGACGACACACAACTATGTTGTAGTAAAAATATTATCTTAACTTTATGATGGTATGCACACACAATTAATAATTAAGAGAAATATCAATAATATTAGTTTTTTTAACACTTACATTAGTAGAAAAGATGGCTGGGCACATGGGGATGGGGGGTTGGTTCCGAGGCAGAGGGCAGATTATTGGCCCTCACCTGTATCACTTGTATCAATTGTATCACTATCCACCACAGAGGGTTGCAGGGCCTCTTCGTCAAACCCCTCAAAGTCCATATCCTCACTATAATTATCACTATCACTGACTTGGGCTGGCTGTGGTGGGTGAAGAACTCGGTAATGTTTTGATGACTGGGCGATCTTGTGCGCATCCTGCCCGCGCCGCTTCCCGCGTATATGAGTAGATGAACCGCGTTAAGTGAAAGTTTGGTTCTGGCGAGGCACCGCGTATATGAGAAATCGCGTTAAGTGAAACCGCGTAAAGCAGGGTACAACTGTGTGTGTGTGTGTGTGTGTGTGTGTGCGCGTGCGTGCGTGCGTGCGTGCGTGCGTGCGTGCGTGCGTGCGCGCGTGATAATAATAATAATTAACGGTTTATTGAAAGAGCTTGGCAGCCAGAAGGCTGAAAATATACAGTTACATATTTGGGGAATGGGTTACGAATTACAAATAATATACAAGTAACATAAGTGACACAAATAAGACATATAATAACTAGATGGGGAAAAGCTCAAACTACAGTTCATTTCAACATAGTGACAGTGTAAGGAGCAGTGTTTACTGGGAGTGAATACACTGATTTATTACAAGTTACTGATAATTTTTACAATGGTTGGGACTGGGCTGTTCTTATAGCGATCAGTTCGTGCACGTATGGGCTGGATGCGGTTGTGGTGTCGAACAGCAATTCTCGGACAAGGGATCTCAGGTGGTAGTAGGAGCCGGTGTCGGGGATGGTGTAGAAGCTTCTTACCAAATTTGCAGATGAGGTCGTGGTGATGGTCAGTGAGAGTCGAAAGGGTCAGTGTGTTGAGCGCTTCTTGATATGTGGAGTAGGAAGGGGAGAGAATAATCTTGCATGCCCTCTTTTGCACTTTTTCTAGGTGTTTACGTTGTGTGGCATTTAGGGAGGAAGACCAGGTGGGGGAGGCATAGGTGAGCTTGGGAAGTATGAATGTTGTGTAAACACTGAGGAGCTCGTGTGCAGGAACTCCGAGGGACTTGAGTCGGCGGAGGAGGTGGAGACGGAAACTGGAGGATTTGACAACTTCACTGACGTGTGGTTTCCAATTTAGTTTGTTGTCTATGGTGACGCCGAGGAGCTTCGTGGAATCTACAACCTGGAGTGTGTTCGGACCTAGAGTAATGGAAGGAGGTGGGACAATGTCGGAGGAGAGGTTGATGTGCATAACCATGGTCTTGGTATGGTTGATGGTGACATGGTTGTTGGTGGCCCAGTTTTGGAGACTGTTCAATAAATCCTGAAGGGCGGTATAGTTGGGAGCAGAATTGTTGACGCTGATCCCAATGGTGGAGTCGTCGACATATTTCCAGCGAGCAGGGGTTTCTCTTAGGGCATCATTGATGAGCATAAGGAAGCAGAGTGGTCCCATCTTGGTGCCTTGGGGGACGCCACAGGTGAGTGACTGAAAGGTGGAGACAGCCCCTCGGAAGCGTACAGCTTGGCGTCGGTCACTGAGGAAGTCTGTAAGCCATGGTATAAGACTTCTCCGAAGCCCAAGGTCAATAGCTTTGTTAATGATTATATTGTGGGTGGGCTTGGGATCAGTTCTGTAGAAAGATTTCTTAGTAATGTTCAGGCATTTGTCTATGAAAGATGTAGGGTACTTAAGGTTTGAGTCAATATTATAGATATATTTATATTCCTCATCAATGAATTCTGGGCTACACATTCATTATTTACTCATTCTTTAATAAAATTGGATTTAAATTGTGTTATTTATCATTTTGACTAAATTTGTTGTAAAAGCTCTTATCCAGTCTCAACAACGTATGTTGTTCATTATAAGAATTATGGTAGCACTGTAGCAGGTCGTTCTTAGTTCTAATTTGGGTAATATTGGTCAGTAAAATATATAATGTACACTCACACCTTGAAGTATCGGTGCAGAGTGAGATCGATGAGTTATAAAACGATACGTATACACTGTGATATGTGGGGAAGGTTGGTAAGTATATCCTCATAACCCCTCCCCTCCACTAGGTGTTGCCATATGGCTGACAATCAGGGCTGCCAACATACGGCTTGAACAACTCGCCTTTCCCAATACCTATCGTCACTGGTCTCAAATTGTTCACACTACAGTAAGCACCAATACTTTTTGTTGGGAGTTTACTCTAACGATGCTACAGTATATAAAACAACCTTTCTCATCAGTGTTTACCAGATTATTTTTCTCATCACATTAAACAAAAGCTACTTTGTCTGGCCTGATAATATATCCATTACCTTACAATGAAGTGCTTTAGACAGACTTCCACAGAGGACACTGCCATGTTATCCAATAAAACACTCTGATCGGCGGCCAAGTGTGACCTTCCCATAATGTGTGAACGGACGACAGTAACTGGTTTCCGTAATTACTGTATTTTGCCGATAATAAAAATGCTCGAGTAATTTATTAACCCAAAACAGACAGCAAACTGGCATCAACTAATACTTTGTTTACAGATACTGATTATTCAGCAAAATGTTGATATTATCTGTAGCTGATATCAATTAATTGGTGCATCCCGAGTATTGTACAGTACTAATACTTTATTGATATTTACACTTAGAAGAGTTAACTAGACAAGGCAGTCTATGGGTTACAATTACTGTACTTTGTCAAGAGTTTAGTGAAGAAACCACAATGAGAGATGACCTGTACTGTACCTAACCTGACTTGTGTCTCTGGTGCATCATGAGTCAGGTCACCAGAAGAACTCTTGTGGTCATCATTTCCTCCATCTTCAAGTCATCATCCTGGAATGATGAATTATTACAACTCTGTTCTAATATATTAAATAATATACCTACAGTACAGTACACTGCCTATATACAGTACAGATATCCCATAATATACAGTACATGATAAACAAGATTCAACAAATGTCTACACTATAGAAGCAAACAAACAAACAAATCCCATTTTGTTGTGTTTTGTCAATGTAAACAACTTCCCTCACAGAAACATAACCCCAATATATAAATTACACAGCACAACTTAAGCATCAGATATGAAAAGTGGAGAAAAAACGTAAAGTAACACAGCCTTATTTTTACCATAGGTGTAACAGTAGTGATATAACATTGATAAATAAGCATTGACACAGTGTACAGTATTATGTAGTCATCTCCCTGTTAACTGCCCCCTACAATGTTTCATACAACTGTACAGTACTACATGACCATTATGCAAGGTATCTGTTAGTGAAAGAAAACCTTTATTAAGAACTGTTGGTAAGAGTAAGGCAGAGTAACATTCAACACTTTCTCCATCAATTTATTGTAAGAATGTTTTTGTTTTGTGTTTTTTTTACGGGCATTAGCCCACCCGGGCACAGGTCATTTTATGACCCACATCAAGACCTGGTGGTCGAAAATATAATAAAATAATAATAATAATAATAATAATAATAATAATAATTATAATAATAATATAAATAATAATGATAATAATATTAATAACAATATTAATAATAATAATAGTAATAAGAGAGCCATAAATAAATACAAAAATTAACACAAATATCAATAGTGAGAAATGATATATGTACTGTATGTTGTGTTGTCAATAGTAAGAGAAACAATTGAGATCCTGCAATTGTGTGTAAATGTGGCACAAAGTCAGATGAGCAACCTGGGACTTGGTCAAAATTTTCGTGATGCCATATGGCAGCAGGGTCTACCATAGACAACACATTATTCTTCCAATATCTTCCCAGGCGGTAGTAGCTCCCTGTTTGGTAGCTGATTGGCAACATTAACAAAAATAACTCGGCGTCAAATGTTGTTCACCAGAGGCATCAAATAGTGTTCACCAGAGGCTGCAAACCTCCATGTGTTTGAGGAGTAACAACACAGACTTGTTCTCAGTCAAGTATTAATACAAATCATCACAACTAAAGGTGTACATAGGACCCTGATGGGGAGCTTCCAGTGTTAAAGACTTGGGCAGTGAGCTTCCCGAGTTCTCTAAATCTTGTTGTATAGAAGCATAAACAAGCAAACCCAATCGTGAAGTGGGGGCGCCAGCTACAGTCCTGCTAAGGGTGCCAAATAGGCTGACGCCGGACCTGGAGCCAGTACATGCCCACAATGCCAACAGTATGTAACAGAGCCAGTATATGCCCACAGTGCCAACAGTACATAACAGAGTGCCAGCACATGCCCACAATGCCAACAGTATGTAACAGAGCCAGTATATGCCCACAGTGCCAACAGGACGTAACAGAGAGCCAGTACATGCCCACAGTTGCCAACAATATGTAACAGAGAGCCAGTACATGCCCACAGTGCCAACAGTATGTAACAGAGCCAGTACGCCCACAATGCCAACAGTACATAACAG